TAATGTTGTCCCAGAGGTCTCTGAGACTGTCCTCAGTTCTTTTCATTTTTTTTTCTTTTTTCTGCTCTGCAGTAGTTATTTCCACTATTTTATCTTCCAGGTCACTTATCCGTTTTACTGCTTCAGTTATTCTGCTATTGATCCTTTCTAGAGAATTTTTAATTTCATTTATTGTGTTGTTCATTACTGTTTGTTTGCTCTTTAGTTCTTCTGGGTCCTTGTTAAGCGTTTCTTGTATTATCTCCATTCTATTTCCAAGATTTTGGATCATCTTTACTATCATTATTCTGAGTTCTTTTTCAGGTAGACTGCCTGTTTCCTCTTCATTTGTTAGGTCTGGTGGGTTTTTACCTTGCTCCTTCATCTGCTGTGTGTTTCTCTGTCTTCTCATTTTGCTTATTAACTTACTGTGTTTCGGGTCTCCTTTTTGTAGGCTGCAGGTTCGTAGTTCCCGTTGTTTTTGGTGTCTGCCCCCAGTGGCTAAGGTTGGTTCAGTGGGTGTGTAGGCTTCCTGGTGGAGGGGACTAGTGCCTGTGTTCTGGTGGATGAGGCTGGATCTTGTCTTTCTGATGGGCAGGTCCTCGTCTGGTGGTGTGTTTTGGGGCGTCTGTGGCCTTGTTATGCTTCTTGGCAGGTCTCTGCTATTGGGTGGGGTTGTGTTTATGTCTTGCTAGTTGTTTGGCATAGGGTGTCCAGCATTGGCGTTTGCTGGTCATTGAGTGGAGGTGGGTCTGGGCGTTGAGATGGAGATCTCTGGGAGATTTTCGCCGTTTGATATTATGGACCAACGTCCTGAACTTGGCTCTCCCACCTCAGAGTCACAGCCCTGACGCCTGGCTGGAGCACCAAGAGCCTGTCATCCACATGGCTCGGAATAAAAGGGAGATAAAAAAGAAAGAAAGAAGAAGATAAAATAAAATAAAATAGTTATTAAAATAAAGAAATAATAATTTAAAATATTTTTTAATTAAAAGAAAAAAAGAAGAGAGCAACCAAACCAAAAAACAAATCCACCAATGATAACAAGCACTAAAAACTATACTATAAGAAAACAACGACAACAACAACAAAAACAGAACCCTAGGACAAATGGTAAAAGCAAATCTATACAGACAAAATCACACACAGAAGCATACACATACACACTCACAAAAAAAGAAAAAGGGAAAAAAAAAAATATTGTTGCTCCCAAAGTCCACCTCCTCAGTTTGGGATGATTCGTTGTGTATTCAGGTATTCCACAAATGCAGGGTGCATCAAGTTGATTGTGGAGATTTAATCCACTGCTCCTGAGGATGCTGGGAGAGATTTCCCTTTCTTTTCTTTGTTGGCACAGGTCCTGGGGTTCAGCTTTGGATTTGGCCCCGGCTCTGCGTGTAGGTTGCCTGAGGGCATCTGTTCTTCACTCAGACAGGATGGGGTTAAAGCAGCAGCTGATTCGGAGGCTCTGGCTAACTCAGGCCATGGCAAGGGAGGGGTATGGAGTTCGGGGTGAGCCTGTGGCGGCGGAGGCCGGCATGACGTTGCACCAGCCTGAGGTGTGCCGTGTGTTCTTCCGGGGAAGTTGTCCCTGGATCACGGGACCCTGTGGCTGGCTGCACAGGCTTCTGGGAGGGGAGGTGTGGATAGTGACCTGTGCTTGCACACAGGCTTCTTGGTGGCTGCATCAGCAGCCTTAGTGTCTCATGCCTGTCTCTGGGGTCCACGCTGATAGCCACAGCTCACGCCCATCTCTGGAGCTCCTTTAAGTGGTGCTCTTAATCCCCTCTCGTTACGCAGCAGGAAACAGAGGCAAGAAAAAGTCTCTTGCCTTTTCGGCAGCTCCAGACTTTTTCCTGGATTCCCTCCCTGCTAGGTGTGGTGCAGTAGCCCCCTTCAGGCTGTGTTCACGCAGGCAAACCCAGTCCTCTCCCTGCGATCCAACCACAGCCCGAGCCTCAGCTCCCAGCCCCTGCCCATCCTGGTGGGTGAGCAGACAAGCCTCTGGGGCTGGTGAGTGCTGGTTAGTACCAATCCTCTGTGCGGGAATCTCTCCGCTTTGCCCTCCGCACCCCTGTTGCTGCGCTCTCCTCCGTGGCTCCGAAGCTTCCCCCCTCCACCACCCGCAGTCTCTGCCCGCGAAGGGGCTCCTAGTGTGTGGAAACCTTTGCTTTGCTCCTTCACAGCTCCTTCCCACTGGTGCAGGTCCTGTCCCTATTCTTTTGTCTGTTCTTTCTTTTTTCTTTGGCCCTACCCAGGTACTTGGGGAGTTTCTTACCTTTTGGGAGGTCTGAGGTCTCTGCCAGCATTCAGTAGGTGTTCTGTAGGAGTTGTTCCACATGTAGATGTATTTCTGATGTATTTGTGGGGAGGAAGGTGATCTCCACGTCTTAGTCTTCTGCTATCTTGAAGCTCTTCCCTGCTTTACTTTAAATATAAACGATTTCAGAAGCACAAGTTTGAAGACATTCAATCATACAGTTATCACTGTAGTGAATATTTATGTGGGAATTTCATACCTGTATCTTTTCTTAGGCTGAATCTTTTACTGTGGCAGTATTTATTGTTTTATCTATGTTTAAGAAGGATGTTTTTGCTGGATATTAAATTTTAGGTTGGTAATTATTTTCTTTCAGCATTTTAAAGATTTTCTACTTTTCAACATTTTGTCATTCTGTTTCTCTTTTAGAGATAATGTATCTTTTTTCCTTCACCATGTACTGTATTTCATCTTTCTCTGGAAGCTTTGAGATTTTTCCTTTCCTTAGATTTTCAAAAGTTAAACCAAATATGCCTACTGTAAAAACGTATATATTTTAAATGTATCTTAATGTTTGTAGAGCTTCTTCAATCTGAGACCTGATGTCTGTTGTCAGTTTTGGAAAATTCTTCATTAGTATCTCTTTAAACAGTTCTACTGCCACATTCTCTTTAATCTTCTGGGACTCATGTTACATGTTATGTTCCTTTTACTATGTCCCATGTGTCTATTAAACGGTTTTCTATGTTTCTCATAATTTTTTTCCTCTCTGTGCCTCAGGCTGGATATTTTCTTCTGATTTGCCTTCAGCTCACAAATCTGTTCTTTTGTAGTTAAATGCGTTTTTTGAGGTCTTAATTTTATTACTTTTGCCACTTTAGAATTTCCATTTGATTCTTGTTCTAAATATCTAGTTATGTGGCAGAATTCTCTATTATTAATTATTTTGCGTGGGCCTCTCACTGTTGTGGCCTCTCCCGTTGTGGAGCACAGGCTCCAGACGTTCAGGCTCAACGGCCATGGCTCACGGGCCCAGCCGCTCCGCAGCATGTGGGATCTTCCCAGACCGGGGCACAAACCCGTGTCCCCTGTATCGGCAGGCGGACTCTCAAGCACTGCGCCACCAGGGAAGCCCTGTTATCTTTTTTTTTAAAGCACTTTAATTACAGATAGTTGAAAGTTGTATCTGTCCTCAATATCTGGATCATATGTAGGTCTTTCTTGTTTGTCTGTTTTTCTTTTGGCTTTTCAATCATTTGATCCTGATTCCTGTAATGTCTACTTATGTTTGACTGAATAGTGGATACAGTGTATGAAAAACTGTGGATAATGTTATTGTCTCCGGAAAGGACTGTTCTTTTGCCAGATAAGTTAGAGTAGGGTTAGTTCATATTGATCCACTCAGGGATCAACTGGAGGTATTGGTGAAGGCTGTTCTATTTCTGGTTTGCTCTTATTCTGAATAGCCCTTCAGGGGTCTCAACTGAAAGCTTTCTCTTTCAAAGGCCCTGAACTCATTTGTCTCTCCCAGCACTGTGAAACTCTGAATGTGCTTCGTTAGCTTTTTAGCCTCTTAGATGCTGTTTTCTGCTTATTGCCCCAGAGTCCTGCCCTACACGGTTTAGGAATTGGCAAACACCTTGAAAAGAAAAGCTGTGAAGGATGTCAGTCTCACCTCACTATGATCTTGGTCCCTTCAGTCTGAGCTGCTTGTTCTCCAGTGACTTCAAACAGTTGTGTTTTGTTTGGTTTATATTTTATCCTGCCAGGAGGGTTAGTCTGGTACAAACCACTTTCAGAATCAGAAGTTTTCAGTTGACATATTCCATTGTTATGGTATTCTCAAAGCATTGAAGAGATGGTTTTATCTTTAATAAATGTTAAGCTTGTACTCTGGGTATTTTGCTATGACCTTCTAACACTAAAGTGTAAGATATACTCTTTGGTTAAAGCAAGAAATAGAAATAATATTTATTGAATTTCAAAAACTTGAAGGCCCTTATTAAACATTTTATAAACATTTTCAAATCTAGTTGGAAAGGCAGCACATCTTCAAAAAGATATAAGCTACTGTCTAATATTGTACTTACATGTCAAATGAATTATACTACAGTGCATACTATAGGAAGATAAGAACTAATATTTATTGCACACCACTGTTACGTCATTTGATTCTCAGAATAAGCTTATGATGTTTCCATTAAAATGGAATGAGGAAAAACAGCCAGTTGTTAAAAAAAAATTTGAAATAAGTAAAATTATAAAGAAGAAAATTAAAATCACCCACAATCTACTGAGAGATAACCATTAAGAACATTTTAGGCCTAAAGAACATGTCTAGTCTTTTCCCAGTACATATAAATGTATATTATATATCATCCTGAAGCACTGAGTTTAGTAACATTTTATTTGCTTTAAAATTTTTAAATTAGCTACATGCAATTCTAGCACTCCTGCTTCAATTTTATTGTAACTTTTCTATTTCTAATGCCTTTTAAAATTAATCTACACAGTACTGTGAAATATTTTTAAACTTTGATAGTTTGATAAAATTTCAGTAGTGCAGACAAAAAGCTTTCTAAAATATACGCAGCTGACATTTTCTTTTTCGTAATCTAGTACAATGGATTATTATTTCTCTAAATTAAGAATTTTGTTAAGTTTATATAAATTACATAATTATACTGTGATTTTTTTCCTAAAGTTAGTGTAAAGTTGGTATGTTAAACTTCCTAATAACTTTTTTGTTTGTATTTTAAAGGCCAAACTGTTTTCAGATAGTGGTTCAGCACTTTAGTGAAGAACATTACATCTTCTACTTTGCAGGAGAAACTCCAGAACAAGCAGAGGTAAGTTAACTGTTTTTTCAACTACTGTCAAATGTATTCAGGCCTTGTTTTCTTTTTTAACTGGAATAGAAAGCTGTTGCATTTAAGATAATGTGATAAAAAGGATGCCTGAAATCTAATTATGTTTTATTTTAAGGAATGAGAAACTTTCATGTGTAAAAAAAAATTTTTTGAAAGAAATGCAGAAAAACACAGTGTAGGGTTATTAGGAAAACTCCATTTTAAATTGACCTTTAAATGGGCTATGATGTTGAGTCCAACTGAGAATGTTCATTGAAAATCCTCTCTGCAGAAAGGTTATATTCTAAGTACAGTCAAAAAGGTAAGCCAGTTAGTTTTGCTAATAAGCATTGTTGTTATTCACTGGTTGAACTGTGTCTAAAAATAGAAATTCAGTCATCACAAGGAAAAAATTTTGAGGAATTTTCTGTTTTTCTCTAAGTCTAGATATAATGTTTACTTTCAGCACTAGCCATTGATCCATGTGCAATGCCCTTAGTAAAACTTTTATTAAGTTTTAAGTAATGCTGTGAAGAAATGTTTTTAAAAATCTCCTTTTAAAAGTACTTTGATTTCTTTGAACCATAATATTTCTGGGGTGTTTAAAGGTATTTTGTAGAAATATGGCTATATTTCTTCTGCTTATACTCTATGGAAGGAACCCGAAGGTAGTTTAGAGGTGAAAGAAAGTGACTTTGTTGAAAAAAAAGAAGATAATTTGCCAACCCTGGATATGAGGCAAATGCTCCTAAAACTCTGGATCCTGGCATGCGCCCCTGACTCATAAATTACGAAAATATCTTAGGGTGTAGAATAAATTTGATGAATGAGCCATTTTGTTTTATGGCTTATAATTGAATATCATATATATGGAAAAATATCTCAATTGAATACTTATTACTAACTTATGATACACATAAAACCTTGTTTTGTGGGTATGTAGCCCTAATTTGCAAAAATAGGGATCATAATATTTTGCTGTTTGACTTTTTTTAATGTTAGATATTGAGTTAGAAAAGAAACTTAAACTTGAGTATCCTATCTTCCAGTTATTTTATCATGTTCTGTCTAAAGATGTGTTAATTTACATACCTGGATGACATTTCAATGTGTTTTGCATGCCTCACATAAATATAACATTATCTTATTGGATTTATCTATACTCTTTCCATATTCTGTTTCCATATATCCCTTAAAGTTCAAAAATACCACTGATAGTCCCAGTTTTTTATTACTTTGGTGGCCTGTGATATCTCTGGTTATTGTCTTCTCTTTCTGAAAGCTATGGTAATTGATTTAGTCTTAAGTTTGCTCCATTAAAAGACATTCTCTAAACACTGACAGAGTTCAGATTCATTGAAATAGCCAACAAACTAAAGACCTAATTGAGTGAAGCAGTAGTACAGAGCTTTCTAGAAACATGTATGCCAAATAAAATATTTAGATTTATTTTTGGTAAACCTAAAATTGTTCTCTCCTTTCTCCAGAGTACTAGATCATTAAACATTTTAGAATACAGCTGCAACTTAATATTAGGCTGAAATATTGTTTTAAATATAATGTTATATTTAAAATGCTTATAAATCACCCAGACCCCCTTATACATTTCTACCTATATCATGGTCTAAGGTAAAGATTAGAATGTTTGTCATCAAATCAGTCATCACATTATCAACTGTTTTTGCAGTCAGGCTTCCTTTCACAAAATGTATCAAGTTCAATTCTGCTTTAGGGTGCCTCAAATTTAACTGCTTAAATATATGTAAATTTATTTTCTGGCTAATAAATTATCACTCATTGGTACTTAAGACTAATATAGAGATTCTACAATAATACAATCAATATTTTACAGAATTATAATTGTTTTGGTCACTGTTTTATTTTGTTGGAGCACAGATGTATTTAAAGCACAGGATACTCTGAGTTTAGAAATGGAAGTCTAGAGAAGGAAGGAACTATTGAATTTGGGGAAAAAACCCAAACTGTTGATTGGAAATTGCATAAACTATTGTATACTATATTTCTTTGAAATGCTGTTATTTTTCGTAGGACTGGATGAAAGGTCTGCAGGCATTTTGCAATTTACGGAAAAGTAGTCCAGGGACATCTAATAAACGCCTGCGTCAGGTGAAACTTGATTTTCTTTGATTTGTGATTGTCACAAATTTGTGATTGTATTTTGCTTTATCACTTTGCTCTTTATTTTTATTTCTCTATGACCTATTTTGGGCAACATTTCAAACACTTTAGAATTCTTGAGAGGTGAATCTTTTCAGGCATTTTAAAGCCATGCTCCCACTTGCTTCAGCAGCAGGAGAAATAGTTATTTCTTTATGAAAGAGAATATTCTTTATATACTTGCTGGATACTTAGCCCATAATGCCATCTTTTGAATATATACCAAGGACTTTTTTTCTTCCACTTAAAGTAACAATACCAAGCCAACAACAGAAACTATTCTGTTTGGCACTATTATTATTATTTTTTTCCTTCAAAAAATTATTTTGGCCTGTGTCAGAAAGGTACTTAGTGAAAAAATCATCTGACTGAAAGTACTAATCCTGGTAAACTTTAGGGTTTTCCATTTTATAGTAATTGCTTTTGAAACCTATTACATAACTTATGGGTAGTATCCTGTCTTACTTGAAACCTTCACATGCCTGCATGTTCATTTATGGAGAGTTAAGCTAGGCTTTCTCTTTCGTTCTAGGTATGTAAACTCACTTTATATCCTCCATTTCTTTGCTTTTTTCTTTTAGTTATCCCCAGATAATTGGAAAAAGTTAGGTAAATTTAATATTCTTGGAGTTTTGAGGAAAGTTTCTTTTTTGTACAGTATTTACTGACTAAAGTGACTCTTGTTTTACTTATGGGAATTTCCAATAAGCTTGGTGAATTTAACATACTGTTCTATTGGAAGTGGATAAATGGTTATTATTTAGATGACTGAAAGTTTTATTCCCTGTAACCAGAAGTCTGATACTTTCCCCAGGGACATTTAATTATATGCATAATCACTATGTGTTCTCAAAGCATGTTTTAACATTTTGAAAGCTATGGAAAATCAGATTCAATTTTTGTAGATTGTATCTTGTGAGAAATTTCAGGCATGAAATTATTTGTAGGTATAATATTATATAATCATAATACAGTGTCTTGAGCCCTTTTTATGAGTCAGGTACTCTGCTTGTGCTTTTATACATATCATTTCTAATCTTCACAACAACTTGCAGTGTAGACTTTATCCTAATTTTATACCTGAGGAAGCTGGGGCTCATAGAAACTGACTTGTGTAAGGCCACACAAGTAGTACGTGG